TCATTCTGCCCACCGAGCCTGAGCCTGCTCAGAACCAGCCTCATGCAACCCCCGGGATCCCCTACGGTGACATTGGAGGGCACGGCAGCTCTGCGAGAAGCTGCTCAGGCATCTGAGGGCCGTGGCTTTCTTGGTGAGAGGAGGCCCGGAGCTACAGACCGCCCACAGGAGGCACGCCCTTGTGAGCGTGTCAGGCCTGTGCTGCTTGGTGGGAGTCGTGGCTGGTCATCCCTCAGCATTTTTATGTGGGTCCAGGCCTGCCACTCAGTTTCCCCCCCCTTTCCCTCCCACAGCTGGTTCCCGGTCTGCTCCAGGCCCCTCCCACTGGACCTCCCCTCCCCCACACACTGCCTTCACAGCAGGTGAGCCCGCACAGCCGGGAGCACTGCGGTGGCCACTGAGCACTGGAAATGTAACCCACGCAGCAGAGGCACTGATCTTAAATTTCATCTAATTTTAATTGATTTAAATTGAAGTTTTAAAATTGATCACGTTATTGGAAAATATTTAAATATGTGTGGAACAACTTGGGTATGTGAATCTACTTTTTCAACAGCAAATTTTATGAAATCTAGATACAGATAATTTTCTAAGGAAAATTTAGCAAGTGGTATAAGTGTAAGCTAGGCATCAGACTTTGAACACTGAGTAAAATAAAATGTAAAACTATCTTAATATTTTATATGGATTACATGTTGAAATGATAATATTTAATATGTCAGGTTAAGTGAAATATATCATTAAAATTAACTTTCCCTGTTTTTTAAAAAATATTTTATTATTTATTTTTAGAGAGAAGGAAAGGAAGGGAGAAAGAGGGAGAGAAACATCAATGTGTGGTTGCCTCTCACACGCCCCCAACTGGGAACTTGGCCTGTGACCTAGGCATGTTGCCCTGACTGGTAATTGAACCAGTGACCTTTGGGTTTGCAGGCTGATGCTTAATCCACTGAGCCACACCAGCCAGGGCATGCTTAAAAATAAATAAATAAAAGAAACTTTACTTAGACAGTTACAGAGGTAGTATTGGGTTGGCCAAAAAGTTTGTTTAGTTTTTTTTGTACATGGCTCTAGTAGTGGTTAGTTGTCTTTAACTTCATTCAAAACAATTTTGTTAGATTGTATTGTGACAGCTGTCCTATCAGCGTGCATTAAAAAAAAACATAAAAATTGATGAATTTTTGTGCAGCCACTTAATATTGAAGATGGAAGAAAATAATATTTTCTGCATATTATGCTTTATTATTTCAAAAAAAGGTAAAAATGCAACTGACGTGCAAAAAAAGATTTGTGCGGGGTATGGAGAAGGTGATGTGACTGATCAAACCTGTCAAAAGTGGTTTGTGAAGTTTCTTGATACTATTGACATTTTGGCCAAATAATTCTTTGCTTGTGGGGCTGTCTTATGCATTGGAAGATGTTTAGCAGCACCCCTGCTCTCTACCCATTAGAAGCCAATAGTGGGAGATAGCCGACATACTCAAAATATCCAAATCAATATAGTTACTGGTGAAAATGAAAAAAAAAAGTGTTTTATTTTCTGGAAAAAGCCATACAGACTTTTTTGGCCAACCCAATAGAAGTGAGCCAGCTGGACTGTGTAGGATCAGGAAACGAGTCACAGAAGCAAGAGGAGGGCCCTTGGAGTTGAGGAGAGAGAAAGGCGAAGGTAGCCGGCACCTGGGGGAAAGAGTCGGGGCAAAGGAAAGGCGTGGGCCTGCTCCCAGTGGGAGAGTGGGCCTCCCCTGATTTTTTAAAATGTAGCTACTAGAACATGTTTCAGTTACTTACGTGGCCCATATTATATTTCTACCAGACGATGCTAGCCCAGAGGTTTAATGTGTGAGTTCAAGTCTTGGCTCTGTGTGTTCTTGAAGAACTGAACCAACCTCTCTGGACCTCAGTTTTCTCACCTATTAGACAGGGATAATAGAAGCATAGAGGAATAAATGAGATATGCCAGGTTTGTGAAGCACTTACCACGGTGTCTGACATATAATAGTGCTCAGGGGAAAATACATTATTATAGGCTTCCTTTTATCATAACACTCCAAGTGCAGTTCAATTGAAGTCAATATTTATTGAGGGCCTACTATGTACTGAGCTGTGGGGATTGGATGGAGACAAGCCTGACTACTGCCTCAGGTCTTGTGGAACTCCCACCTGCCAGGCAGGAGGCAGCCATGACAAGAAACAGGGTGTGTGCAGGTGGTGTTAAGTGCTGCGGAGAAGGATAATTGCTAGAGAGTAGCTCCGGGCTGCTTTAGCAGGAGTGGCCAGGGAAAGCTTCCCTGAGGAGCAGGGGACATTTGAGCTAAACCTGACCAGTGTGGAACAAACCAGGTGGGGCTCTGAGGGAGGGCTGTTCCCAGCAGAGAATAACTAATGCAGAGGCCAGAGTGCAAGCCCCTGCCTCGGCTGTCTGTATTGCACAGTCTGCTTCACCAAACTTTCCACTTCTTACATGCAACTCTCTCCCGGCCATTACATTGTCCCTGTGTCCCTGTGTGTTTTGTAAAGCTGGTGCACACTGCCCCCACCTCATCTGTCCTGTGTGCTCCTCTTGGCCTTCGGCCTTCACAGACCTCCTCTTCCATTGGCCCTCTAGCTGAGGTCTCCTGTTCCAGCCCGTTTCCCTGACGGTTCCTGTCCCCGCTGGTCTCCCTCTGGCTTCCTTCCAGGCAGAGTGCTTTGTTTTGTACCATCCTGGTTCCCTCCTAGCCCCCTTCATTTTCCTGGGGGCAGTGTGCCTTTCCGACATACTTGCCTCCTGTCCTAGGGCAGGAACCAGAACCAGAACCAGAACCAGAACCAGTTCTCGCTGCACTCTTCCCAGCACAGAGCCAAGTGCCATTCAATAGCTCCTATGGATTGCCACATCCCTTCTTGGAGAGGCATGTCTGCCCAGGCAGAGTGGAAAATCCCTGGCTGAAGGAAGGGCCATGGAAATTTCTTGTTAACGTTCCTTTTCCAGACTTGGACTTGCCCCAGAAAGCAGTCAAGCATTTTGCCCAGTGACCTGCAAGCAGCTCTGTTCTTCCTCCTCCACTCCCACCCGGGGCTGGAACCAGGGAGCCGGGATGGGTGGGTGGGGCTGGGGAAAGCCACAGTGGGCAGCAGGTGACCTCTGAGATCTGCCTCAAAGAATCCCTCTTGGTGTCCTCTAGCCCCACCCTCTCAGTTCAAAAATGAAGGAACACCAGTCAGTGGCAAAATCACACTAGACTGCACGTCTCCCCACTCCCAGTCCAACCTCTTTCATTGCTCCAGGGGCCTGTTTCCTCATCTGTAATATGGGAATAATAATAATAGTTCCTGGGGAGGGATGGTTAGGTAGGCTGGGATGGGAGTAAAAGACAGAAAACTGTACTTGAACAACAATTAAAATAAAAATTAAAAAAATAGCTCCTACTTCATAGGATTAGTAATTTGCTGAGTTAAAGATGTGAAGAGTTCTATAAACAAGAGCTCTGTATCCTCTCTAGTCCTTCAATTGCCCTTCCTCGTAGCCCCGTGGTGGGATATGCTGTTTGCATTCTGTGAGTGGTTGACTTCTGGGGGTGTGGGTGGGGCATGGTGGGGGGCGTGAGTAAGGGCTAGAAGTCATCACCAGAGGCAGGCCGCCCCTGTCTTGTCTATAGACTGGCCTGTATCTGTCCTGCTGCTTTTTAAAAATGTACACAGATGCAATTACAGTGAATGAAATACAAATTCATTTAATACTGTTACTGGAGTTACAGGTTTGTCATATTTTAGCCCAACCAATGATACCTAACGGAGGTTCAGGGTGGGTTGGGGGCCCCTGGGACAAGTGCCCTAGTCTTCAGCCCTTTTCCCCGGGGGGGCCTGGGCCCCTCTCCTGTGCTCAGAGATGTGCCGGCCTAGATCAGCTCTACCACTCTCCTCAGCCCTCAGGCTACCCACCCTCAGATGGTCTCCAGTCTCCTCCTCCCACAGGACAGGGAATCTGAATGCCTTGGGGGAAGCCCAGGTGAGAAAATGAGGCTTTGGGGCTGCAGTTTCATCCTTCCTCCTCTTGGAACCTGACCTCACTCTGTCTGACTGACACCCTTCTCTCCTCCAACTTCCTAGAAGACACAGAAGACTGCAGATCCCGCCCTTCACCACTTCCCACTTCGCAGTGCTGGGTGCAGTGGGACTGGACCGCGGAGGGGAGGTAATCTGAGTTTGGATGGGCCGTGGCGTGGCATAAAAGTGCCTGGAATTTGTGCACTGTTGGCAGAAATGTAAATGGTGCAGCTGCTGTGGAAAACAGCTACAGTGGTTCCTCAAAAAATTAAAAAGAGAATTATTATATGATCCAGCAATTCCACTGTTGGGAATATACCCAAAAGAGGTGAGAGCAAGTCTGAAAGAGTCACTGGTACACTGGTGTTTATGGCAGAATTGTTCACAGTAGCCAAAAGGTGGAAGCAACTCGGCTGTTTGTTGATGGATGAATGGATAAACAAAATGTCGTATATACATGCAATGGACTATTACTCAGCCTTAAAAAGAAAAGAAACTCTGACCATTGCTACAACATGGGTGAACTTTGAAGACATTGCACTAAGTAAAGTAAGGCAGGCATAATAAGGCAAATACTGTCTCATTATGATTCCGCGTCTATCCGGTACCTGGAGTAGTGAAGTTCACAGAGTCACAAAGTAAAATGGTGGTTGCAGGTGGGGGTTAAGGGGAGGGGGGAATGGGGAGGTGCTGTTTAATGAGTATAAAGTTTCAGTTTTGCAAGATGAAAAGTTCTAGAGAAAGGCACACAAAAATTAGAGTATATTTAACACGTAAAATGGTTAGGATGATACATTGTACGTTGTATACTTTACCACAATTTTAAAAAACATTAAAAAATGCTTGGAAGCGGCCCTAACGGGCCTCCCTAGGAGATGACGGATTTCAGATGTCATGGTCCTTTCCATTCTTCCTTCTTCCACACATGTTCATTAGCACTTATAAGAAAAAAAGATAATTAACCGTCAATTCTATTGGGCCCAGACCAGGAGTCCATGAGTCTTCAGGACCTCTATAAACCTGCCAGTTTCCTCCTTTATGTTCTTTTCGGCCTGTTTCCACCGCCTCATGAGCTGCTTTTTCCTCCGGCAATGAATCTTGGCCTTCTCCTTCCTCTTCTCCTCCCGAGCGGCCATGACTGCCTGGCGCTTCCCGCCAACCTCGTGGGCCGGGTGCCCTGGGGAGGCAAATTTCAGTGTAGGCTTCAGACACACAACCTTCAAGGCCCCAGGAACCACCATTTGCTTTTTCTTGTCATAACGTGGGAGGATCCCATCAAACACCTTCACTCGGTCGAAGGCATCCTGACCTTGCTTGGATTTGGGGGGCAGCGTGTCTCCCCACGCCCTCTGCCAAAACATGCTGCTGGGGGCTCGGAGGTGGTAAGGACCCCGGAGGATCCCAGAGGATCTTGGAGGACCTTGGAGGACCTTGGAGGACCATGGACTGCGTTGGTGTTCATCTGCTTCAAGGAGGAAGGCCAGGTACTTCAACTTACTTCTGTAGAAAGTGCCACAAATGGCCCTGACTGGTGCGGCTCAGTGGCTTGAGTGTCATTCAGCAAATGGAAAGGTCAGCAAGGTTACCAGTTCCATTCCTGATCAGGGCACATGCCTGGGTTGTGGGCCAGGTCCTTGCGCAAGAGGCAGCCAATCAAGGTCTCTCTCCCTCTATTTCTCCCTCTTTCCCCTTCTCTCTAAAAAATCTTTAAAAAATATTGCCAGAAATGTTGACGCCCGCTCAGTGCACAACCACCACCTTCCTGCCCGACAGTACTTGCTTGGCCATGAGGACCGCGAGGTGGCCCAGGAAATGACCTCCGTCATCCAGCGCCAGGACCTTGACCTGACCTGCCCCTCCATCCTCTTCCCATGAGCCATGTCAGTCTGGGCAATACAACTGTTTTTAAATTTTATAAAGTCCAACTTGTTGAGTTTCTCTTTCATCACTTGTACTTTGGGTGTCATATCTAAGAAATCATCGCCTAATCCAAGATCGTGCAGATTTACTCCCACATTTTCTTCTAAGAGTTTTATAGTTTAGTCCTTCCCCTGAAGTCTCTGATCCATTTTCAGTGCATTATTGTATATATGCACCTTTTTCAAAAATTCATGTTTTGAGGTCTAATTTACATTCAATAAAATTTACCAATTTTAAGTACACAGTTTAATTAGTTTTATTTTACATACTTTTAGTCATTCTATATTGTTGGATAATTTTTGCTGGAAAGTTAGGGATAGGGAAAATTGAGTGTGTGCCCATTTTCTCTCCTTATTATCCACAATTTTGCTTATACATGTGAGGGGGGCAGAGAGAGAAAGAGTAAGAGAAAGAGAGAGAATCCGCTTCTGAAGGATTTCCACTTACTTTGCCTTTCTATTGCAGCCCCATGGACCCGTTTAATTATATTCAGGTCGAATGAATGAATGAATGAATGAATGCAGTCCTCAAGTGACAGTCCATCATTGTCTGCTTTCAGAGTCATCAGTACCACATGGCCACAGATGTTGCCGCACAGCTGCCCATGGTGGTATAGGGACAGAGACATCTCATCTGGGCCCCTGCGCGGACCTGTCTAGGTTTAATGGCTTATTTTCTAATTTGTGATTCCTTTATAAAGAGCCCCCCTTTCAGGATAATTACAGAGCTCTGTAATAATCTATTAATTGAGCTGGTTTCTGTGCCTCATGTTTCCTCAGCCTTCTGCTGGGCTGCCCCAGAAGTACTTGGCCACCTTGGCCGGCAAAAGCAGGATGAGGCTGACTCGGACACCCTGAGCGGGGCAGCCAGGAGGACTCAGGAGGTTGACTAGAAGGCCCAGGAGGTAGGAGGCCTCACTTCCCATCTTAGCCCTGCAGCCCTGTTCACAGAGCCACTCAGGGCCTTTGCATTTCCTCCTGAACCTTGAGGTCAAATGAAAGGAAATGTTTACAAGGTGCTTATTATATTCTAGACTTAGAAGATTACAGGTTATGGCGACTGCGGAGGGCCAGGTGAACCTGGCACCACAGACACCATGGGCTGTGAGTTTGGGAAGCTGGCAAGGGTGCGGCATGTGATCAGCTGCAGCTTGTCGCCCGCCCTTCGAGCAGCAGGCCCTCCCGCACCGCTCCGGCAGGGGCATCCCCCAGTGCTGCGCCACATTCAGGCAACCGTCCTTCGCACCGCACCGCCATTTATTGCATTTTACCTTGTCTACACATGGGGGACCCAGGAGTTCAAGAAATCCAAGAGGAAGAATCCAGCTGCCTATGAAAATGACGAATGAGCAAGTCGTCTGGAGGATGGTCCCCTGTCTCTGAAAGACCCTTCTCTGGGAGGGCAGTCCACACTGTAGTGTCTTGAAGATACAATAAACTTCTTACGGGCTGCAAGAAGAAAAAGAAGAAGACGAATGACTACAGCTTAGAAGTGAAGCTGTCTGAGCACATTACTACAATGATGATTTCCACAAGAAATTACTACAGTTATATGTTGAGGTGACCGTTGTTAAGATGGTGGCCTCGGAAAAGATGTTAAAGGAAAGCAGGACCAGAGGGGAAGGAAGTCAAAAAGGTCCCTATTGCACAGGGTGCTTGCTCTGCAGTCAGCTCTGCTGCAGCTCAGGCCCCCTGTCTTACCCCCTGGTTTCCTCACTGTTATCCCCATTTTACAGATAAGGAAATTGAAAGCGGCTTGCTCAAGGTCATTGGCTTAGAAATGTCTGAGCCTGGATTCAGACCCAGATTCCACTCTCTCTGCTGTATCGTGGCCTTAGCCACATGAACACTACCTGTCTTCCAGGATCTCAGCATTCACTATACCTCTATGCCAGGCAGCAGGCATAAAATAAAACCACACAGTGTGCCTACCCTGCCCTCCTTTCTCCTTAGCCTGAGAGTCTAAGCTGGCGGGGCAATCTTGTGTCATCTGAACCAAGGGAGAGGGGGTGTCCCACAGAACTGGATGGATACTAAAGTGCACATGATGAGATCAGAAAACTGCCCAACACTGCAATCGTGAAGGGTGAGGCTGGGTGAGGCAGAGGGAGTCATAAAAGGGGACAGCAAGACAGGCAAGAAGGCTTTGCAGGCAACACACGGCCCACAGTCCAGGAGGAAGGCAGTGGAATGAGCAGAGTCTGGAGCTAGAGCAGGGGGCAGGCCACACTGACCTGTACCAAAAGAAGCAGAGTAGTAGGGAGTATCCCGGATAGAGCTAGGGAGGCCCAATCCCAAAGGCCCTGAGAGGCAGATGGTAGACCATGATAACAGGGAGCTGTTGCAGGTTTTAGAGTAGTATCCCACCTGATAAGGTGGGAAATAGAAATACAAAGGGAGGTAATCCTATACAAAGAATGGTAATCAGTACAAGTTTCATAGGCCTAATAGAATGGTTTTGGAGAGTGTTTTCTAAAGTTGGACTTCAGTCAGTAAAAAGGAGCCTGCCCCCTCTTCTTTCTAAGAGTCTGGGGCAGAGCTTTCTCTGCATCTTAGGAAGTCTATGAGCTCCCACCTAGGAGTCCTGTCCTGCTTGTGGAGATTTTCAAGCCCTGTGAGGATGAAAAAAAGCCCATCTAGCTTCAGGAAGGAATGTCTCAGCTGACCTTTCTTGGAAACCCAAGCTTTCCTCCGGCCTCCATCTAACCGTGTGTGCTCTCTGCCTTATAGTCCTGGAGACAGGTTAACGCCCAGTGTGCCACCCAGCTTCCGTATACCAACAAGACTCTGTTCTGGGGCGACACACAGTTATTTTCCTTGCTCCTCTTCTGGGGCCAGAGAAGCACAGCCATGAGCATTGGCATCGATCTCCTCAGTTTCCTTTCCTCATGGGAAAGGAAACCTCGGACATGGCCCAAATGTTGAGACTGCTGCCCTCCCAGATCCTACCCTGAGGGGCTGCGTGGACAGGTCAGTCATGGCCACAAACAGATGACCATGCAAGGGCACGGGCCTCTCTCTGCTTACTAACCTGTAAGTGTAAAGCATGACAAACCCCTGAGGGGCCTGCATTTCACACGGCGGCTGTTAGAACATGCTCAGGAAATGAGCACGAGGGTTCTCCTGAAATTGCTCTGGGCACCTTCTCATTTCCTGCCACCATTTCCAAATCTAGTTCTAACCCAAGTTCATTCATTTTGGGGAACAAGTTACTCAGTTCTACCAGAGATGCGACTCTTCTAAACCATCCCAAATTTGGGGGCCCTGTGTCAGAATCCCTGATGAAAATGCAGATTCCTGGGCCTCTTCTCCAGACACACTGTGTCAGAATTTCCACCAGTACCTGGAGATCTTTGTTTTAACTGGGGGCCCAAGAGATTGACTACACACTCGAGTGGAAGAACTACTGTTTTACAGTTGGGCAAACAAGACCTATCTGGGACCAGGAAGAGAAACAAGGGAGATAACAACTCTCCAAGGCCAGTGTGGGAGGACTGCCTGACAGTCACAGGGAGTAAGAAGTGGAAAAGCCCTTGGCCTTCATCTGGCCCAGCCCCAAATTCACTGATAAGGAAATTGGGGCCCAGAGAGTACATTGAGTCCAGGCCACCCCGCCTATTTACGAAGATGGGTCTGTAATCCCTTGGTTTTGAAGCCCTCACTGCTCCTTCCTTCTTCACCTGCAGGTGTATGCGTGTTTGTGCGTTCTGCACCTGCCTGGGACACACCTCCCAGCCACAGATCACGTCCCTGAGCCCTAGCCCTACTTTCCTTGTCTAGTAAGAGGCGTGAAGGAAATAGTCTTTTCAAAACCCATTTACTGATGTTCCTGCCCTCTAGTCTTTTTATATCCAAAAATAAAATTAGTAATTTTCATGGCTGCAGCACAAATAGAACTGTCTTTTTTTCCTCAGAAAGAATAAGTCTCTTGCATGCAGTCCTTTCAGTACCTGTGAGGACCTTGGGCTTAGAGTGCCCTTGTACCTGGGCCTCCTAAACCAGGGTACAACTAGGTGAGCTCTGCCTACTGAGACTCTGGCTCTGTGGGAGGTCTGACTCACTCCTCACCTTCCAGTGCTTTCTCCTGGTAGCCTCAGCTAGCAAAGCCAGGGATCCAGGGTTCTTGGCACAGGTGGCACACAATCCACATACCTCTATTACCAGGCTGGCAGGCAGCTCCGGAAAAGGAGAGAAACACACAGGGGTACCTGAATCTGATGAAATCCACTTTCTAACAGCACCCACCCTACTCCCTTTTATTTGTTAGCACTAATAAGAGCCTCAACCAACTTTTAACAAATACTTTTTTATTAGAAAAGTAAAAAATATTGCATAGGTCTTAATACTTGAACATCAAGTGTATTAATGAACAGCGAGTATCTTCATGTAAACAGTTCTAGATGGAAGACCCAGATGGCACTCCTCTGGGGAGGGGTTCCAGCCCCCCACCCCAATCAGCCCCACCCCTCACAGATAAACTCTCCAGTACACAGCGGGGGATGGGCCACACACAGCTCTCAGGTGTACTTTTTCTTCAAGTGTCAAAGATCCCCCAAGTGATCCCAACACCCACCCCTTCCTACTCTTACATTCATGCGTCTGTAAGATAGCTGCCTAGAACAAGTCAGTAGTGAAGTTCCAATCAAAAAAGAAAAAAACAAGATGCAAAAACAATGAACAAACACATTTGGCCCCTTCAGACCATGAGATACAGAAAAACACCTCCACAACCTCCCCTCCCACCAGGGCCAGCTACCATGAGCACACATCGTCTGCAGATGCCAGTGCAGCCCAGCTGCTCTCCTGGCTGTCACGCCACTGTTGTCTTAACTGTCAGTAACAATAAAAATAAGGTACATGCTACATACACATCCAGCCAGAAGCCTGGTTGGCCCCTAAACTTTTGTTTCATGCTACAGTACTGAGGGGCAAGTGTGTGCCCCCAATGAGAAACCACCTACAAACACCTCAGTGATCTTCCCAGGAAACACTTTCTACCCCCTCAACCTTCCTCCCCTGAAGTGGCTGTTGTCAGTTCTCTAAGGACAGGCATCAATTTCTCAGCTCCCGCCTGCAAATGTCCACCCCGAAAGTTCAGTTGTCTGCCGTGGGGGAAGTGTCAGCCCCCAAGGCCCAAGTTCAACACTCTTCAATGAGCAGCTGTTCGGAGCTGTACAGCTTCTTCTTGATGACTCGGAAGCCGGTGCTCAGCGTCAGGGACTGGCTGAAGCCAGGGACGAAGGGCGAGTTGGCGGAGCTAAACAGCCCCTGGATCTTGGGCCAGAGGCGTGAGTCCAGGCGCAGAACGAGGGTCAGCTGGAAGGTGGGCACCAGGCTAGGGTCGAGGGCCAGCTGGCCTACGCTGTGGCAGCTCTTGCCCTGTTCTACACAGACATCCAGCAGCGCCCCCCGCAGGCCGCATGGCTCGCTGTAGGCCAGGCGCAGTAGTTCTTTGCCCACCTGGCTCACCAGCTGGCTGGGCATCAGCAGGCGCGCGGGGCGCCGAGAGCCCAGTCGTGCCTGGGCCAGGCTCTCCTGCAGCAGCTGCATCAGGTTTGCACACAGGTGCTCGTCCTCAGGATCGCTGAGCAGCTCGAAGTCGGGCAAGGACACCCCATCCAGATACGCCGAGTCTGGAAGGGAGAGCACACAGGGGATGGTGTCAAAAGCAAATTGCAATGGGGGAGATGCTATTTCACTAAGAAACCAGCACTCCTTCCCACTGTCCTTCACACTCCAATCACCCTCCTCCACTCTCCCATCCCTCTGCAATCTACGTTCTGATGGGATAGGAAGTCAAGGTGGGTTTGACTCCTTCCAGCGCGGCCCTCCTTTCACCTCCCCGACTCGGTCCGGTCCCGTCCCCCGCCCATGACTTACCATCCTCCAGCCCGAAGCCACTGTTGCTGCTGTCCAGAGACTCGCAGTCCGAGCTCTCCAGGCTCGCGCAGCGGCCGAGCCCCTCTTCTCGTGCCGCCGACCCCCAGGCCGAACGCGGTGGCTGATCTGGGGTGGGAGTTTGGGACAGCGACAATGACGAAGAGGAGGCGGACGACGAGAAGCGATCCCAAAGGCTAGGCATGGTGAGGACCGGCACCAGGACGTCTGCAGATGAGCTCAGGGTGAGAGAGCGCAGAAGACGCTGTAAGACAAGAGAGGCACAAACCTGGCGTCAGTGTGGGCTGGACCAGACTGAGAATGCTAGGACCCTTACGGCTGAGACCTCCCCACGCAGGGATCAGTACATTGAGAAGGGACACTCACCAGGTAGCGCGGTCAGCGAGAACTGCTTGGACTAGTGCCGCTTGAATGGGTGCGCGAACTGCTGCCAAGCTCCGAGCTCAGCCCAGACTTGTCCCTTCCAACCACCCAAACCTCCCCCTTGGCCTGCCGCGGTCCCTAGCACCAGAGTCGAGAGACCTATAAGGACTGGCGCGGATAAGCCACGCCCCATTAGCGCTGCAGCCCAATCCAGACTCGGGAGTGTGGCCCGCCTCGGCCAATGGGCTCCAGGCGCACGTTCGCAACGTTCTCTCCTGCCCAGTGACAGCGATCTGGCCCCGCCCCCGCTGAGCTCCGGCACGGCTCTCCGAACCCCGAGCTGTGGCCACACCCCCTTTCTAGAAGGGCTCCGCGGAGGCTGCAGCTGCCAAGGTCCCCGAGGGCGCTCGCGGCAGGGGAGGATCAAGGAAAGACTTGTTTATTATAGGGTCGTGTTGCTGGGGGAGGGAGTAGCCCGTCACCCTGCTCGGGGAGAGGCAGGGGACCTTGAAGGGGCTGCGACAAGGAAAACGGTTGCCCAGAGTCTGGGAACCTGTGAGCTAAGGGTACAATTGGGGGCACGGGTGGATGCCCGTGGGACAGCGGCGCAGGGAGCTGATTTTAACCTGGCCTGCCATCGCGCACGTACCCACGCTAATCCTGCCTTGGGAAGGAGCCAGGGATGGGGATTGGGTTCAAAGACTTGGCAGCTCCGTACGCGAAGCTTCCCTGTCCTCGCAACCCACTTGCCCACCTGACCACTCGCCTGTTACTCCACAGCCCCATGGTATGAGTTAATGAGGGGGTCCTTGTCCCCCATATGCGCCTGGCCCCCAAATTGTCCGTTCCCACCTCAAAACTGATCCCAAGGAGAGTTTGGTGAGGGTGGTTAAAGGAGTGTCGCTGGGCTGAGGTTCTTAGTGCTTGGTTCTGGGCTGAGAACTGGGACCCACATTACATGTACACAAGCACCCACCCGCTGCACCTACAGAAGTCCTCGGTGCAAAAATGACTCCCTGGCCCGCGGCCCCGAGCGTCCGTCGGGTCCTAGCGCCCTTTCTTTCCCAGAGCTTTGTGTAAAAGACCCTAAGAGTTGCACCAGGACCAAGGTTCTAGATCTCCGCCATACCCCGAGAGTGCAATGGCCAAGCCACGTTTCATCATTCAGGCGGGGTCACAGGAAATCTGGCCTGACTGTGGTGCTTGAAAACAGATAGTGGTTGCTGAGGGTGGGAATAGCTTTGGACGATCTAGACCTTTATTTGTTTAAAGGTTTATCAATCTGAGATAAGAGGATCCTGATTAAAGAGGAAACCAAACTTACATCAGACGCTCCCTCCCTGGGGTGGCCGGGAGCCTAACCAGATCAGACAGGTGAGCCTTGCCTCCTAGCAGGATTGCACGTGACTGCTGACTCGGGCTGAAGAGGTCGCGCCACTGCTGTCTCCACCCTCATCTTCATTTTAAAACAAAAAAAGGCTGACCCCGCAGTCCATCTGTGCAAATCAAGACTTAGAACTGGAAAGGATTGGAATTCAAACCCTGTACCACACCCCCATTTTCCAGATGGGAAACCACCTCTAGAGACAGATTTATGGATTAAAAAATAAATTAGGGGACTCATACTGGGAGATATCTTAAATACTACAGCAGAATAGAATAGTCAATCTCTTAGCCCCTGGGGCTTGCAAGCCCTGAACTGTGGTTCTTTCTCTCCTACCCTACACTGCTCTCACTTGCAGGTTCCTGAACTAGGAACCTTAAAGATACCAGGTCAGGGTAGTTATGTGAAGTGCTTGGAGGGCTGGAGGTAGATGAATCCTCTGGAGATCACCCTGTACCAAAGTGTGAAGAAGACAGTTGGAGGTTACCTGTATGGGTGTGTCTTTCTGTTGCCTGGGAGAGAAGATCAGGGAATTAATCCTCTCACCAGGCTGACTGGGCTGGGGACACCTGAGACAGCAGAAGATAGACTTAGGGTATTTTTTTCTGTCTCTGGCAGGAAAAAAAAAAAAAATCCCACAAAACTGTGGAACACTAAGAAAACTTGAGATTTTTTAAAAAAGTGGATCTTTATAAGCAAAAGAATCCAGAGCTAGTTTGGTAAGGTAAGTTTACTAGGAATCATTTGTTCATTTAATACACTTTTGGAAGCAGTGTGCTAAGCTTTTATTCACTGTCTCCTGTTGTTAATAAAAAAGCTTTTCCCAGACTGGAAGGACTATGTTGATGGGCACTAAGTAATGTTTTTTCTTTTTGAAAGAAATCCAGTAATGTTGTTGTCTCACTGTTTTTAAAAAGTGATGAAAAAAGGAGAGGCAGTCTTCACCCTGGAGCATTTTCCCAGAGTATCAGGGAGCGAGGTACAGGGCAAAAAACCGCCTGCATGGAAGCCTGGCTGAGCCTGGCTGAGGACCAGTGGGGGAAGGGAAGAAAGCTCTACATGGCTCCTCACTGACACTCTTCACCCTTGTGAAGGAAAGGGCAAAGCTGCCTACCATTGTCTGCCAAGAGAACCATTGGACCAGGAAGGAGAATTTCCTACTTGTGAGCCCCTCTGAGGAGCCAGGGTGAAGGGTCTTGATTTGAAGGGTAAGATCCCTTCCACCTGGATGGAGATGAAAAGACTTTGTTACTACCTTACATGCATTTCCCTGCATTGAAGCAGATAGAATATGGGGGAAACCCGAAAATGTGGTACTCCTGGAAGGAGACATCTCCACCCTCTGGCCAACTGAGCCAGGCCTCTTCAGAGCCTTCAAAAATCCTAGAAACCCTGCACTTGGTGTGCTTCTCTCCCCCTCCTACTCCCTTTGGGCCAGCTGCAGTTCAGGCTTGCCTTGGAGAGCCAGATCAGGCAGCCTTTCCTCCAGGAAGCCTTACTCCGTGTCCCCACGCCAAACCTCCATCCCTTAGGTGCTCCTCCTCCGGTCATCCTTACACCTTGGGTGTTTCATCTTCCCACTGGACTATGAGCTTGCTGAAGGTGGGAGTCTACTCTCATCTTCCAGTGGTTAGCACATAGTAAAGGCTCAGTAAATATTCCTCGAGTGAAAAAATTAATGAATGGATGAATGGGAGACTAGATTAAGAGGGTGGATATTCCCAGGGCTGCCGACCTACACCCGGATTCCCAGCATCTAGGTGGGCCTTTGGGATGGCCCTTCAGAAGACCTCGATGCTGCTGCATTTCTATCTTCTTTCTGACAAGTGTGGCCAAGAGACTTGGATGTATCTGAACATTTCCCTTTCTCCTCAGCTCAGGTCTGGGAGTGGGGCTTCTAAGGCAACCTAGTTCTTCCAAATGGAATATTATCAGCAAATGTAGGAAGCTGGGGAGAGAAGTGACATTGTACAGATGGCTGGCTTATTGTGGAGAATCTTTTAAAGTAATTAGTACTTTACCTTCAAGTGCCTTAAAATACTTAAACATTTTTTAATTGAGACAATATTTACATATAAAGCTAACCATTTAGGAGTGAACAATTCAGTGGCATTTAGTGTTTTCACAGTGTTGTGCAACCGCCACTTCTATCTAATTACAAAATGTCATTATCATTCCAAAGGAGACTCCAAAACCTATCAAGCAGTCACTCTCCTCAAAGTACTTTTGGAGTTTATATTCCCCTGTTGTAGGGCGTAAGACTGCCCCTTTGCATAACTCCAGAGGGCACCATTCCCGTCAGAGTCTGTGCATTTACATATGTCTTCTGGGAAGCTGTGCTCCAGGGATCATTGTCACAGACACTGCGCAACAAAAATCTGCACCGAGACAACCTTGCCGGGGAGACTGGGCTAGTGTCACATCCAGGCTGACTCAGCCCATGGAGTCGGTAACCAGGCTCCATGTCCCAGTCTCTGTGGCCAGAGCCCTGACCATGCAGATATTGTCTCTCCCTGGGCTCTGCTCCATTCCCGTGGGACCCGCCGCAGCCTGCAATTTAAAGTCAATGAGCACTCATGCCTGGCCACCTGCCCCTCCCTGTTCAGGCAGTTTCTGTCCTGCGTTCGGGTTCCCAGGGCCTCGCTCAGTCGGGCTAGTTGCCTCAGTCGGGTTTGGGGAGTTAAACCAGATCTTGGGGTGAAGGTGTGATTCTGAGAACCCCAGAATTCAGGATGGGAACCCCTGAAGGCCAGCTGGCTTGGCTGCACTGCTCTGGACCACAGCCCTTTGTCAACTTCTCAGCCAGCGAGTGGAAACGGCAGAAGGAGCCACTGGGTCAGGGATCAGGGTTGAGGGCTGGGAGGCGGAGTGGTGGTAGGAGGTGGGACAGCGAAGTCAGCAAAAGTGTTCCTAGGACTTCTGTGGGGTTTTCACATGAAAAACAACAAACAGCTTAGTCAAAATAGCAAGATTGTAAGTGCACCTCGTTTACCTGGAGGGCAGTGAAAGCTGTAGACAGCACAGGCTTCACAGGATTTTCACTGTGCTATTGGAGGGAGAATTAAAAGCTCAGTGGGGAGTCTTAACAAATGAAGCAAAATACTAACAATACATTATATTGTGCAGCCTTTCAAAGAAGCTTTTTAAAAATGTGTTTATTTATTTATTTATTTTTAGAAAGGGGAAGGGAGGGAGGGAGGGAAACATCAAGGTGTGGTTGCCTCTCCTGCGCCCCCTACTGGGGACCTGGCCTGCAACCCAGGCGTGTGCCCTAGATGGGGAACCGAAATAGTGACACTTTGGTTCCCAAGCTGGCACTCGGTCCAGTGAACCACAGCAGCCAGGGCTCAAAGAAGCTTTTAAAATGTATTATCTACTTATACCCTGAGGAATGAATACAGTGCCATTCTACAGATGAGGAAATTGAGGCCCAGAGTGATCCTTCATTAACCAATGATTTCAAACCTGATTGATAATTGGAAACAGTGAGGAACTTGTAAACCATAGATTTCCATGTCCCTAACCCTCATTCTGATTTGGTAGATCTGGATGGAGCTCTTTGGTACAAAAGCTCTCTCGGGGGTCCTAATGCTCTTCTTTAGTTGGGATATCTGCTGACCCCCAGAAAGATAGGTCCCAGAAGGAACACTGGGTCGGCTCCCCACCCTATCAAAGGGCCTCCCTGTGCGTGGGGGATGGGTTGGCGGCTGATGAGATGGCAAGAAGCTGTGGTGACAACTCAGCCCACAGGTGATAATGTTGAGCTCATAGC